CAGTCGTTTGTGTTTTTTTTTTTTCTTCCACGCATCCACGCATGAATCTCTCAGATTCACTGCAGGTGTTTTTTTTTCTTTGCGCAAATATATCGGGGTTTTAACAGAGAGGAAGTGAGGGGAAGCAACAGTTCTCCGCAGCCTCCGCAGCAGTGGAGTGACCTGGCTCTGTCCATGGTGCTCAAATGCGGGGAGGCAAAGCGCCTTGAACCTACACAGTACATACTGTACATTGTAACAGCAGCCCACATTACTCTGTTACAATTTTCCCCTTCGCCTGAGGGAACGTGTTGACATACTAAGTTCAAAATCACACGTTAACTGGCAGTACAGTCCGTTTTCTCCTCTCCTCCTGACTCCTCTGTTATTAGCACCATTTTGCACATTTCCCCATTATCTTTGCTTATTTTGTCCCTGCCTGTAAATTGTCTCTCACCAATAATGCCATACACCAATATGAACCTGAGCCGTGATCTTTAGCAGCAACCCAGGCCTTTATTCTCTGTTCTATTTTTAATGGGCTCCATCTAAACAGGAAACAGTTGGAGACCACCTCATGAAATGTTAATGCCTTTCTTCGAATTGTTGCCTGTTCATTATTTTCTTTGTTTATGCAGGAACTAATATAAGTTTGTAAATCACTTGCATAGTGGCAGCATAGGCCTGGACTTGAATGTGCTGTAGGGTTGCCCGGCTCTTTCCACTCAGCAACAGCACTTAATTTTCTTGAATTATTTAAATCACCAACTAATTTATACCTACTTTTTCTGCCTTATTTAATAACACATTTGTAAAAATGTTGTACCCCAAGGAAAATGCAAATTTAAAAAATAAAAAACACAATGTGGGAGGTTAACATTACAATAGATTTTAAAAATTAAATCGATCCTCGGTCCAGTCTTTTTAAAATAACTTTTATTCGCAAATGAGTCCCTAATGGATTCCTCTCATATAACCAGAGGTATTGCAAGAGTCTTAACACTTTTATTGGAGAGATCTCTCTGACTATAAGCCATTACCTAGTGCCCACATGAGAAAGAGAGAGAGCGAAACAATGATGTAGCCACATGAACGTGTCTCAGGCACAAACTACTGTAGCAGTAACATGAAATAATCTAGCGGGCTAGGCCACCATTATCTGGAATGGACAGATCGAGGATCAAACGTGTTCAGGAGAGAACAAAAGATGGAGCTAATGTTCAACTGAGAGTGGGATTAGAGAGATGAATGTAGCCCAAAGTAGCCATGATTTGAGCTTGATTTCGGTGAGCACTTTTGGATTCATCATGGGCACTGATTTACAAATGTCCTTAGTACTGTCGTTTTCTGTACCTCAACTGCACTTAAAACCATTAAAGTATACCTATTGTTGCATGTGTGAACATGTTGATGGTCATTTAAAGTGTTTTGAGGTCGGCATCTTGCGGCTACACAGACCCCTGCAGCTGAGTAGCGTGCCTTTTATTCTGTGACACTGGTTTGGGATCCGATACGGTAACATGCTCCTCTGCCTCTGTGGCAGACATCCCTAGGTTAGCAATACGTCGGCGCAGTAATGTGTCTGAGTAAGGGATTCTGCATATAAGTCGTGCTGAACAACATGACTCAGTGGGCGAAACCCAAAGACTGTTGTGTACATTTGAACTTTGCTGGATCTGGGACAGAACTACTCAAGCAGGCCTTCATGGCCTTCACACTCACATTGCATTAGTGAAATGGTTGAAGGATCCACTCGGTAAGCAGTTAGGCTTCAGATGTACCAATCATGAATCAGGCTGGAACTAAAAGAGAATAGAAAAACCAAAGAGTTTTCAGTGCTGCATTTAAGATGAGCACAGTGTCTTTTTTAATAATAATATTTCTCAGCACAGTGGTCCCCATTTATCACTCAGTTGTTTTGAAAAAGCAGAGCGTTTATAATCCATAATAATGTTTACTGGCAGGTTTTTGATGGCATCTTCACTCTCTGGACCATTGTACAGTTAGGAACTCTATGTGTCTCTCGCTGATTCTAACACAAGGTCATCAGGCCGTTCATGCTGTGTGCTAATCACTATATTACATATAGAGGAAAACATTTTTCAAGACATGTCGGCAAGTACAAATATTAACGCTGGAAGGTGATACTTGTCTCCCTCATCTGCTGTAAAAGAACAATTATGTTTTTGTTGATAGATTACATATTGGAGTTGGCTTGACCATAACAATGACAGGAAACAGGAGAGTGGAACACAAGACAAATAGGTCAAAGGTCAACGTCAACGTCATACAGAGGGGCTTGAGTACATGGAGCTCGGATTTCTACAGAAAATAATCTGTCAGGATCATATTTGTATTTTTTACCTCTACTCTGACATGTTTACGTGCTTTAATGTTCAAAAACCCATTGTTCTCATACTGCCTGTGCTGCAGCTCCTCTGTTCACCCTCTGTCTTAAACCAGAGCCCAGTCTGCTCTGATTTGTTAGCTGGCCGGCTCTGTTTTGATTGGTCAACCTCTTAGAGAAGTCCCGTC